TAACTAACTTTGGAATACAAATTAAAAACTATTCTTCTGTGCAAAAATCCAATATGGCGTCCATAAGAAAAAATAAAGTTGATGCTGGAGAACAAGAGGCGAAACGTCATATTGAAATTCTAATTATGCCTTCTTGTAGAGAAGACAAAGTGACAATGTTAAATGTGCAATTTATTTTGAAATCCCACTACAAATGAAGCCAGGAAAAAATTAATACGATTTTGGGAAAATTCGATTTTTTCCGTTTCTCTCCAGAAGTACATTGAATTTTGCAGCTTTCTAAGCGGCATTTTCTGATTATCTAAATACGCAACTTTTGCCTCCATTTAAGCGACTCCGTATCTCTTACAGTTTCCGAGATCCCAATGGTAAGAGTCGAATTGGAAACACACTGTGTTTATATGGTAAGGCAACACAAAATTTTCTCAAAATCTTACAAAAACCTACAATGGATGAAAATTGGAGTTTACCTCATTGAAGTAGTGTTCTTTAGCATAACTAAAAGTTCCGGATCCTACCATAGGCAGGAACTGAACATTTTTTGACAACCTTTTTGAGTTTTGTGTTGTACTATAAATATTATATATAGAAAAAAATTGTTACGAAAATTTTGTAGCTTGTTGAATAAGTTACAAAAGTTGACTCAATGGTATTTTCATGTCTACCTTCGATAACGAGGTTATGTCAATTCCTTAGAGCTCTCATTAGTCTATAAGTAAATGCGAGTAGATGAGTACAAAACATACGTTCTATGCTTGTTATGGAATGTTGGCTATTTGGTATATATGAATGTTGTTAAGGTTATTTGAAATAGCTTTGTCAAAAGCCTACGATTCCACTGGTCAGGTCTTCACTCAGGGCTCTGGGAGGAGGGGGTTTAACCTTGTCAGAGAAATCTCATTTCCGGACAATTCGGCATTGATTATACCACATTCAAATGTTGTTTACATCTCGTTAAATCAAACACGGTCTCTCGACCATAAAATTCAATATAATGAGCGGGAGAGGTGCGCGGCCGAGCAGTTGTTTTTATTAAGACGCTAGATAAATGTCATTTGCCCATACTATATAAATATCTTTAAAGACTGACATTCAATGACTATAAAACTTAAAACAATAAAGAAAAAGTTACTACTAGTAGGAATTGAACTCTGTATCTTTAGACTACAAGGCAGATGCTCTACCACTGTACCAATATAACAGCCTCCAGATTTCAAAATAATTAATTATTATTTGAGGGTATTGTCCAGGGCATAGTAATTGACACGCGGGTGTATGTGGGCCTTTATTTCTACCTGTACCAGTGTAACCTTGTAAGAGAATACAAACATTTCCCAGAACCTCAAAAAATTATGGATGAAAATTTGGATTTAGGTTAGTTAGTTACTACTAGTAGGAATTGAACTCTGTACCTTTAGACTACAAGGCAGATGCTCTACCACTGTACCAATATAACAGATTTCAAAATAATTAATTATTATTTGAGTGTATTGTCCAGTGCATAGTATTTGACACGCAGGTGTATGTGGGCCTTTATTTCTACCTGTACCAGTGTAACCTTGTAAGGGAATACAAACATTTCCCAGAACCTCAAAAAATTATGGATGAACATTTGGATTCAGGTTATTTAAATATACCTAATGGCCATTAGCATAAGCACGAGAGCACGACTAAAAATATCTAATTTTTCAACCATAGGTAATAGTGGAAACGCAATGTCAAATATCGAAACCCGCTAATTGTTTTTATTCGTGTCGGTAAGTTTCTCGTTTACGGATCCAGTAGTACTCGGTTCATTACCGATTTTTACAACTTTTTATCTTTAACTTATCATATATAAATACGGAATGTATTTTTTTCTTATAGAATTTCAGCGAAAATATAGATTATTTGATTGATGTTGATACATATCAAGTCATACTGGTTAAACAGCTGTGAAACATATATTTTACCATAAGTTGACTCTTGAAGAAGATAAGTATATATTTTCAAATCTGCTATACTAGCATTTAAATTGAAAAGTGAAAAAAAGTGGTCTACTGTGAGGATCGAACCGGGTACCTTCAGGTTGCTAGGCTTACACTTCCCAACTGCGCCAGTTCAGGTATAGCTATTGCTTGTCAAAAGCGGTAATTCGGTAATTATTATTCGGGATGAATTATCGTTTTTGACTACCACCCCCATGTTTTTTTTGTGTTCAAATTTTCACTCGAATCCGTTCACAATATATGGCATACAATGAAAACCAAATTTCTGACGTCTTGAGTTCAATGTGTACGAAAGAGAAGTGTGTATAGGCACATATGTAAGAAAGAGATAGAAGCCGGCTGGATAGCGTAGCTCATAGTCACGTTGCCGCGTGGCATATTGAAAATATGCGTTAGTTTGTTCTTAATCCCCAAATAATGGTTTTGTTTTGAGCGTACACATTTTGGAATTGTGAATTGTGAAGAATCTGTTTAGGATCGATTCCGGATAGGTCTTAACGGAGCTCCATTTTAGGTCGAAATGAAAGGTCAGGATGGCCTCAAATTCTGCAACATTCCATTATTGGTTCGTTTGATAACACCCCATCTTGTAGAGTCCAAGGCAAGGTTTCCACCTCCATGATCACAGTTGAGCGATTTTGGTCAGTGCCCATCTAGCGCTCGTATGGCTTCCACCTGTGTACACGCATGCAATGATAAGTTATATTGCGTAACTTTGTTACATTTTCTGACCGCAGCGCTTTCGTAAAATGTAACAATAACTCGATAAGTCGCGTCAAAATTGAAACAAATAATTCTAATCAAAATGAAAACAAAACATTAAATTGAATTAAAATGTATCCTCACTTTAAAATACATCTTTTCGCCAGATAAATAAATTTGGAGCAATTTTAATATATTCACGATAAAATTCAACATTTTTTCTACATTTTGTGTAATTTTCATTCACCACGGAGCTTGATAAATGACCCAAAAAACTACTTTATCAATCAAATGGATTGTAAATCCCGCATACGAGCATTTATGGTCTAATTACAGCTCCAAGAAAATTGTCTAAGCGTAGATATGAGAATATCGTACAAACAATTTTTGTTGCTTATTTATCAAGCTACAAAATTGTCTTAGCAACTTCTGTATATCATATTACGGGACTGTAACACATCAAAAATTAAAGTTAAAAAAAACTATTTCCTGTCTACAGTTGGATCAGGAGCTTTCCGTCATGTTAAAGAAGAATATGACAATAACCTACATCCAAATGTTTATCCATTATAGAATTTTTGTTAGGCCAAAAGTGTTCACATACTGGGCTAATAGAAAATAATAAATGCTGGGCTTTTTAAATGGCATCTGTCAGAATTGCTATGTTAGTATAGTCTTGGCATATATCTTCAGCTGGGTCAACAATCCAGCTTAGATAATTAGAGAATGATGAAAATAGTTCATTCTAACAAACATTCAGAAGTAAATCCGATATAGATATAAAATTGTGTAGTGTGTCCCTAATTTCCTTGACACTGTGTTTTAAGTTACAACACACCAAAACTCGGCAAGTATTACTTTCACTTATCTCATACTTAAGTGAATATCAACGTCATTTATTTCCGATTTTCCGTCAGCGTTTGTTGGAAGTTTCATAACGAAGGCTGAATCAATTATGATAGATTGGGAATTGATATACTGTAGGATTTTGGAGGAAAATTATGCTCAATTTGTAGAAATCGGTAAAATACCAGAAGCCTATTTGTTTGTTTACTGATCTAAATGATTTCGGACGTATAAAAAAATCAAAGAATTTGTTGCATATCTTTTTTATACTTCTGGCAATGCCAAATGGCGCCTTTGGGATTTGTGTGTAATATGAACCTATAAGTTCTTGCATTGTAAGTGAATCTACTTGAGTGTTTTTTTTTTCAATCAATTTAAACTTTGATAATTTCCAAAAATGGCACCGTACCTATCAATTATACAGAAGTTATAGCAATAGGTAGGTAATAAGTTTCTAAGAAACATTATTTCACTCCATTCCATATTCTCTGAACTTGAAGAATGTTGGCATACTCAAAATAAACGACCTTGATTTTGATGGTCATTAAAAGTTAATCCTGATGGAACTGGAATCGATTAATGTCAGGAATCTTCCAAAATAAAAATTTAGGAGTGAATGGAGACATGTTCAGGATTTTACATCTGCATTTTAGTGTGGAATATTGTGCATTTGTGGTTAATTGACCACCGCATAGAAAGTTTGATAGTAACGAGCATCTATAATTTATATGTCTAATCATATAATGTTACTTACAAGCAATTGGTACTGTACAATAGTCGCTTGGAGCGCTGGTATAGCACTCCAATATCGAAGAAAAAGTAACGGTTATACTAGTAAGAGTGCCAGGCTTTGTGAAAAGTCAAATTAAAGGTGTCACTTTAACTGGGGTTGCCTGAACGATACTACTATTTTCTAATAATTTCTCATCGTTCCATTGATATATGATGATTAATGTCCAACTTATTATTACTTAATTCCTCAATTCTCCTACAAAAATCACAAAACATGTTATTATCAAATATGGAATCTTGGATAATTTTAAGCCAACTTGAAAATTCTGTAATGGCTATATTTACGTCATTGCTACCTAATCCACAGGCCTTTGAACAATCATGTTGATCCTTGTGTTTACGTCGCTCTTTGGTTGTTTTCACTGTACAAGCGATTAACACAGCTTCAGTGGCCAATGTCGGAAAGATATCATAAAATACCTAAGGATCCATTAATTTTAGACGTCTTATATTATTTCAAGTTTTCATCGAATGGTGAGTTAATAGGATGTCTAGCCGGTAACAAATAAAATTCCTGGAACGCACGCCCTTCTTTAAAATGACACTTATTTTGGAATATTATATGACTTTCTTTGTCATTTGCTTTTTTCTTCATATTAAAGTCCGATACTATTCGTAGCGCTCAACGCGATCATTGTACAGGGTCAATGAGATATCTTTTTAATAATTTAGGTTGAACGACCATGGCCGTAACTGGAGGCATGTTTACAAAGCCTTGGTGCTCCTCGAGTATCTCATCAAAACAGGATCTGAGAAAGTGGGACAACAGTGCAAAGAGAACATATTTGCCATCCAAACGCTGAAGGACTTTCAGTACCTCGAGGAGGGCAAGGATCAGGGCCAGAACGTCCGCGAGAAGGCCAAGCAGCTGGTAAATCTGCTGAAGGACGATGAGAGACTGAAAAACGAACGCGCTAGGGCCTTAAAGGCAAAGGAGAGGTTCGCCCAAAGTGCCAGTGGGTTCGGCAGTGATGGGGGGCTGGACACCCCTAGTAGCCCTAGGTATCCTGCCTTCAGAGGAGAGTGGAGCACTAGTAGGGAATCGAGTGAGTGGATTATAGTCGCTGCACGCAGCATCTCCCGAGTACGTTTAGGGGGTCAATTCTTGAAAACTGGAATAGAATAACTGATAAAAATTTTTTCTGCTTACTGATCAATACATTTTTTTTTATATATACTCATTTCTTGGAACTGAATTGATGGTTTTCTGAAAGCTGTGAAACTAGCAAATAATTGAGATAAAAATGCTATACCAAAAGTTTGAAACTGTAAGAAATAAAAGGCTGTTAGTGAAGAGATTTTGATTTTTGTTTATTATTTCCGAAAATCATCAGAAGTTATTTGAAATAAAATGTATCATATTCGGCATACAGATTACTAAAATAATTGCAGAATTCCATGAGCTAGCAGATTTCGTAAATCCAATTTTCCCAAAACAGCTTTCTGGGAATAAAATGTATCCTATTTCTACGTGTCAAACTGACTCGTTTAACTCCGTAAGTATTCGGATGTGCCCGTCGGAGTGTTCAATGAGGTTCGCGTTGTGCATCGCTTAGTACCAACTATCTTTGGAATTCAGACGTGTTGTATCGTGTTGTGATCTTACTAAACATTCCTGCAAATTGCCTGAATGTGTAATGGCTGCTTACGAAAATTAAGAATACGCCGACATCATGTATTGTTACGGGTTTTGTAATGGTGACTTTGCTGATATAAGCGTGTTTGGTACTACTTACCGACGCATTCGAGAATCTGGCTCGGTTCGTCGACCACAAGTAGACGCTGGAAGACCTGCTATCCATAATGCATACGAAGAAGAAGAAATTTTAGAGTGTTTTCGAGCAGACCCCACTGTGTCAACTAGACAAGCGGCACGACAACTTGGCATATCCCAATGGAAATCCTGGTTTATTGCTCATACAGCGCAACTTTATCCATACCATTACACTCCCGTGCACTCTATGGAGGAGGGCGATCCTGCACGAAGAATTGGCTTTGGTAGATTCTTTATTCATGCCGATATTGAAAACCCATACTACCTCAAAAATATCCTTTGGACTGATGAATCGAAATTCGATCGTGATGGTATTACAAATTACCACAATGCCCACCATTGGGCTCCTAAGCGTCAAAATCCAAAACAATTCAAGGAAGGCAAGCACCAGAGAAGATTCTCGGTAAACGTTTGGATGGGAATTTTACATAATAAATTGATTCGTCCTTGGATGCATTACTAGATGTTCCGCTAGCTAGGAGAATCAATATGATATACCAGCATGATGGCTGCCAGCCCATTATTTTCGAGGTGTACGACAATGGCTGGATGAAAACTATCCGCAGAGATGGATCGGTCGAGGAGGCCCAACGCCGTGACCGGCGAGAATTCCGGATTTGACGCCTTGCGATTTTTACATTTGGGGTCAAACAATTAGTGTACAGTACATCCGTTGTAGATATCGAAGATTTGAGGAAGAGGATTTTGGCAACCACCGAACAGATGAAACGCACTCTTTCAACAAAAGTGACAGTGACCCAACTACGTCGTAGGCTACGTGCTTGCATACGTAACAGTCGCAGGCAATTTGAACAAGATTTATAGTTTTTAAGTACCAACGTTACGTTTGTTTCATTAAATCTTTATGAAGCACATGTTTTCTTTAATTAATTAGATTTGAAACTTTACCGAACTCATTTAATTTAAGAATTTAGTTGTACCTATAGTACCCTTTGTCTGGTTTGTTTAGGATATGCCTGAAAAGTTAAATTTGTACTGTTTTGGAAAGCTCATGGAATTCTGTAATTATTTTTATAAGTTGTACGTCGACGAATCTTGAAATGCCGGTATCTCGGAAACCGCTCATTTCCGATCCCCAGTTGGTGGGGATTAATTTATCACAAATAACCTCTAGAATCACCACTTTCAGGGTATAGGTCGAATTTCCAATCACCCTGTATATTAACAGTGATAAAGACTTACTTTCCGAATAATTCTCAAGAAAAGGTACGGAAGTCTCGCAGTCATCCATCAATCTCATATCTATAGACAAAGCTAAGTTTGCGATGAAACATTTAATCATATGATCTAGCTTGGAGCATATCTCGTGGTAGAACATTTCCCTTTGTGTAGTCACCAGTTCGTTTGTCAGTATGGTGGTCTGATTACCCATGAATCAAATTCTAAGAAACTAGTATCATATTATTTAGGAGAAAATTCGTGCATTAATAGATTTATTTAATCAACGTCAAAACAAACGCCATAAACTGTCAGAAATTTGGTATCATTTCCCAGGGGGTTAATTCTTAAAATGAGAAAGTAGAACAACTGAGCGAAAGTGGACGTGGTTCTCTTACATCGCGAGGAACTGTTCCTGACCAGTGTTAGAATAGTCGATCCCCGAATTGTTTCCGGGAGAAAAAGTGCGGAAGTGTCGACGACTTTTATCAGTCTCATCTCAAGACTTTGTGAGTGAACTTTTAATAATATAAAGAACCCAAGAACATACCATAGTATTTTTCCGAAAATGGATTCATTAGAAAACTTGTTTGACAAATATCAACAGCTGTCACAATCTGGAGCATTTCCTAGGGAAGAGAACCACATCCACTTTCTTTCAGTGATTGTACTCCCTGGTTTAGAATAGGAGTCCTGGGAGCATTCTATTTCACTACGTTCAAGAATTACCATCTGGATATGATTTAATTTTATTTGACGTATATGCCAGTACAAAAGGGATAGGCTGTTCGACTACTACATTTGGACCATACGTCTTTATGCATTTTCGACGTTTAGATCGGGAGGTATCATTGGTGGCAGAAGTCACTTCCTCGTTCCCGGATTGTTTGTGTGCGTCCATACTGAATGCGCGGTGACTGGGGCCTAAGGTGGGCGCGGCGAGCGGCGTCGTGCGGTGTCCATAGTGACACGCGAGCTCTTATTCTGGTTCGAAGTTCCAAACTATGGACGATTTGATATTTTTACTAGACAGTAAGATGGGAGGCGTTGAACATTCGAGAGGGTGTGCACGAAATAAATAAAAACAGAGAAACAACTAGTGAATTTTTTCATTTGTATGGAGAACTGAGATTATACCCTACAAAATTTTTTGAGTACACTTGAATGCCCGCGTCAACATTTTACTACATCCTAAGTAAAATATCTGTGGTGTGGATGTTTACTTTGCCAAATACGTGGTTTAGATTCACTTGCACCTATAAACAATTTAGTATCCGCCATTACTATTCAATAATACTCATGCATACGCCGAGCGACAAGACCGAACTGGTTTGTTACCGCCGCCTCCGCGCGTTAGGTAGCTTGCTGATTAGGCCCGTAGTGTGGCCAGAAAGCCCGGAACAGGAACGTTTGAAAACTACGCTCTCTGTCTCGCTAAGTCACATCGCCCTAGGCTTCCGCCTCAGTTACTACACTATGGACGCAAAGGCGCGTTTCGTAATGTTTGATACTTCGCGCCCGTCGTCGCAACCGGGCTAGGCTCTCAATATGGACGCACACTTTCACACCAGTGCTTGAGCATCATTGAACCATGTGGCTATTCGACTGCCATTATATGTATGTGTGTTGCGAGGCGTATTTCAGAGGATTCTAACTTTTGAATACTGCATATCTGGTTTCAGCTGATCTTCCACGTGATATAGAAGTAGCACGACCGCAGACCGCAGGTGAAGAGGAACTTCAACTCCAGCTGGCGCTTGCTATGTCTAGAGAAGAAGCTGAGCAGGAGGAGCAGAAGCGGAAGTCCGACGATGTACGGCTTCAGTTAGCTTTAAGCCAGAGCCAACAGGATTTCAAGTAAGCATCTTATTTGCATTCTATGTTTTTATCCAGTTTATCACTACATTGTTCTACAATTTTTAGCTACATTGAATTCTCTGAATGTATGTGTATAGCTTAGCTCACAACATTTGTAGTTTAAATACTGTGTGATATTGAATTACAGTGGACCCGCGGTAATCCGACAAACGTTTGTTGGGCGATGTCGGATTATAGAGTCCTGCCTAAGACCATTTCCGACATTTTTCGAATAAGAGTACCTTGTAATCCGACAAATTTCAAATCAAAGAATCTATTAACTACGAATTATCCTACATAATTATGTATATGCACAATATGTATGTGGAATTTAGTAAATTAAACATCACAATGGATATCTAATATTTTATTACAAAAATAACATCGTCCGTGCTATAGCGTAGTGAGCTTTAACGTCATAAATTGTAGATCGACCTACACCGTATTCACATGCTAAACTGCTGAGGGGTTCATTACGATTTGAGTAATCCAAAATATCACTTTTTTCTTTGCCAGCATTATATGCTTTTGCTTTTGGGTTTGTGAAGACATTACTAGGTAACTATATGTGACACAATGAATAAATAATAAACAATGAAGCTTGTTAGGCCGCTATTACATGTATACTGCCAAATTCAAACTGAAACAATACGCGTCGAGCATAATAGTGGTGGCGCGTGCAGGTTACAACCTGTCCAATCATGCATTATATTAGTGAAGATTTGCCAAAATATTTATGTAAAATTTACATTTACAGGATTAGACAGGGTCCAGATTACCACTGTATTCTAAATGTAATTAAAAACACACCCGATAGCTGGATTAACGATCCGTTAGCAAAAGCAACGGTGATTTAGGCGAGTTTTTTTATGAGTTACTGGAATATTCTAACCACTTGACTCCATGATGGTGGCATAGACATGTTTCTTGGACTAGATTGTTCCTCGCAATTTTTCATGTTTTCTGTTTTATAATTATGGTTTTATGTAACACCTATTTTATTTTCTATTTAAGGACTACACAGGATAAGCCAACCAGTCACATGGTAGATTTGTTAGATGTCAACTTAGGTGACACTGCCAGTTCAACTGCGAATGTGGATGCTTGGGGTTTTGCGACAGACCATCCAAGACCTCAGGTAAATATACCTTGGCTGAAATGGATATGTTTGCTTTCCGTCTCCGTTTGGTGCTTGCTAGCAACTCATCAGTGTGGTATGGGTCCAGTCTTGGAGACAGGCGGACGGAAAGCAAAGTGGATATGGTCTTTTGAAAAATTCAAAACATTGTTTGCAAATAGATACATGTCGCACGACCATTATGGTTGACTTGTCAAGGACTCGAAACACTACGTATTCACGGAACAAACCAGCAATGGCTTTCTATGGATATATGTATGCATAAATAGACACAGGCCTGTACGTATGGTAGGTGGCGATCGTTAGATTTTCACCTACTTGCGCATTAGGATACCTCATTTACTAATTTTTTTTTGAGATCACACACTGATCATGTCAAAGTTTATTCAGACTTCAGATTATTTTTAGACGGGTTATGAGAAATATAGTGGGCAGAATTGATGTAAATAGTAATTGGAAGCTTTTTAAAATATCGATATGTTATAAAAAAGTTGAATAAAAATTATCAAACGCTTTCGAATAAATTTGAATGAACTGCAAAATATCCTTATTCTTATATATCTATACAATACTTATTTTTCATTTTTTAGTCTTTGGACTTGAGTTTTTTCGGATATTATCCCTTGGTATGTACAACGATTTGCGTGTGCTATAAGTAACGCGTTTTATGTTTTCGGCTAGATAAATAATCCACTTGTGTTCAAGGATCGTGGACTATAAGCGGGATTTTTGACGCTGGAAATAATTCAAATTCCAAGTTGATGGTATCCATGAAAGATTGTCCTGACTACTAAGGCCATACATGAACAGTTATATGTAATGGGAGGGGAAGGTATTATTATTAACAATTTACAGGTTTTGTTTGCTAATTTTGAATGCGTGGGCTTATATCTGCCAGACGAGTCACATTTGGCCTACCTAATTGACGGTTTTCCTTTTATCCCACATTGTCAACGCGGGTGGTATCCAGGGATCGGTTTTGGCTCCGGCGTTGTTTCTCTTACATATGAACGACCTCCTTCCCTGTTCGATAAATCCGATCCACATCTTTGCTGATGACAGCACTCAACATTCAGGAATTCACAGTCACAAGCCGATGTCTGGTGGTGAGCTGGAGAAAAGTAGACTAGCAGCGACTTCCTCTCTAACGAGAGGCCTGGATGTTATCACTGCTTGGGGACAGTTTAAATATTCCAAAACACAGTACATATACTGTACCTTTATTTATAAGAAGCGCCCTAGCGCTCATCCGGTTTCGATGGATAATTGAGTTCTAACAAAGAGCCCTTCAATTCGGTTGTTTAGGGCTAAGAAATACTTTTCTCCGCATGACCTCCTCACTCTGTATATGGCCCAGTTAAGACCTAGCATCGAGTGCTGCTCACATGTTTGGGGTGCTGCCGCCCTGAATACATTATCCATGCTCGATGCTGTTCAGAGGAGGGCTGTCCTGATGACTCTTCTCTAACAGGGCTCTTTCCCACCGGCAGGCTGTGGGCGATCTAGCTCTCTTCTACTGCTGCGCCAACGGGCTTTGCTCCTCAGAGCTCTTCTCCATAATGTCGCCGTGCGATGTGCCTTCCAGACAGACCCGCCAGTCTTTGGCCTACCATCTTAACGGTGTCAAACTTCAAACGTCTAGAACTGGCCGATACCACCGCTTTGTCCTCAGCGTATCGAGATTGTGGAGTAATCTACCTAAGGAGGCTTCTCTCAGTTCTGCTAATCTTAGGTAGTTAAAAAATCGGGGTAACAAAGTTTCCTTAAGCTACTTATAGCAGTCGCGGTTCCTTGCTATTTAGGCTTCTGTCTGCGGCTGCCTCGGTATAAAAAAACTTGAACCAAATGCCTATTTATTTGTTCATTTTTTAGAAAATTTATGTAAGCTCCCAGTAGAATTGTTCGAGACTCTTTTTGTAACTAGGGTACCTCCCCGTGGTGACGGTTGTAACGACGAAATCTGGTTTTTTTTCGGCCAAGCCCCGGTTGAATGCAATTATAATGGAAAAGATGCAATAAAGGCACATTATTGCTCTTGAAAAAATGGAGCGCGCAGTGACGTGTGTCACACCCATGTAATGGGTATATTATTTGGTATTGTGCTAGCTATAAGCTACACATTTAAATAAGGAAATAAAACCCACATCTCTACAAATAGACAGCATATTTATGAGATTTGACACTCTAATGAATCAATAGTGAAATGAACGGGACATCTCGATGTTATTTATATTTTAATGCATAAGGAGAACAGATTTATTTGTTTTTTTTATACAGAACTTATTGGGGTAAATCCATTAATATATTTCATAACTGTTCGCTATATGACCCAAAACAGGACTTGGTTCTATTTGCTTTTAAATACTTTAGAACATGTGTATTTTAAAAGCCCAAAGTTCTCAATTTTAGCATTTTTGTCCAAACTTTTTTCGTGTCAGAATATTTAACTTAGAGTTTTTATATGACACCATGGTCATAACACTTCCTACTTCAAATCTATAATAAAACTCACATATATAAAAATAAAAGTGTTGCATCACTGTACCCACATTAAACACAAAGCTGAAGTCTCACTGTAATTATGTATAGAATGCCTTAACTTTTGTGAGCTCAGTGGAACAACACTTTTGGTGTTTTATTATAGATTTGAAGTATAAAGTGTTGTGACAATGAGCTCGTATAAAAATACTAAGTTAAATATTGGAAAATGGGCGTTTTTCGACAAAAAAGCCTAAACTGCAAGCTTTGGGCTTTTAAAAAATAGTCAAGGACTAAGATAAAAAGGAGAAGGAAAATAATTGAATGCTAAAATTTTATAGATACGATCAGCTAGGAATTTGAGTTATTTTCAGGATAAAAACCCCGCTAATAGGTCCTTATCCTTTGCTGCTAGTTTACCTAGGCTTGAGTACTGCTTAGTTTACTAACTTTGATATTTTGAAAGTGTTATGGCTCATCTACACATTGGGCCAATATGTGCCACCAACAATCAGTTTGGACTAGAACTGGCAATCAGGCATTCCAGAAAATGACTCCTCATATGTGCATTGTAAAGCAAGATTATGGTCAACCGAAGTTTTAACTCTTATTTCTCTAAGGTGACATTTTTACACAAAAAAAAATCAAAATATTCAAACTTGGCATTCTGAGAGACTTTTGGTCAGAATATTATGAAGAACAACATTTCATCGGAGGAGTTTTTCATGTGCATGAAAAACAACATATCTTTATTATAGATCATATAGATTGCGTAAAATACTCTAGAAGTGTTCGGAATTACCACACTACATTTATCATGTTATCAGTCAACAACACATTCAACATCAAACGTCGGTCGACTTCATATGGAGTTTGGTATGAAAAACTAAAAAATTGGCTAAACAATCGCCAAAATTCAGTGGATGGGTTGCAGTTGCATTCAAAAACGACTAAAAATGAACATATTATACTTGCATATCCTGTAACTCACAAACAATTAATTCTAGAATCTTCCACGTATTTAGACTCTGAATAATACGTACTAAACTTTCTACAGTTAGAATGGGAACCATTTTTCGCTTCCATCTTTCTTAAGAAAATTGAAGAGTACGGATAATAACAGGCGAAAATCCATTAGGTTTATCATAGCAGCATTAAACTAAATATTTATTACTTTTCTAATCAGCTTTCAAAGAGACCATAGGGTTACGCTGGAATTTTTCGCGTATTTTTTAACTGGGACACCAGAGGCTTCTGCGCATGAACACTTTTGGTGAAAAAAGGTATGGAGAGTAATGTACTAAAATCCCAGCTAATTTGACTGGGAGCTATTTTCAATTGATATTTAGAAGACCTGCACACCCTGTAACTAACTAAAAAATGTTTCTAAAAATGAATACTTAGGAGCTACTAAGCTACAAACAAATCATTTCGAATACATTAAGCTTAGACATCCTGTAACTGAAAAACCGTTGATATTTGGGCTATAGTGCAGTGGAGCCGTTTGATCAGATAGGTATGGAGAACAGCATACTACAATTTCAGCTAATTTGACCGGGAACCATTTTCCAAAAGGAATGAATATTCTTTTTTTTAAATTAAAATTTCAGTCACGAGAGATGGCATTGCTTGACAAATAGCTTCAACTTGACCCCAAAACGGCTGATTTGATTGTTGTATGCACCCTGCCAGTCGGTATGCTGGTTGATGTTCCATCACGCCTACAATTAGGATGGTGTAAATGTAAGAACATATAAATGTATGCATGAAGTGTTTATTTGGTGCGGATCGATGGAATCCATTGATTAGAAGCATTTGTTGGCACTTCGAGTGGCAGTGTGTAAATCAGCCATTACATTCTTATTATATTGGCGTCTGTCAGGTTGATTAACTGCTCCATGCGTATTCATTGTTGTTGTTTTTAGTGCATACACCTATTTGCCCGATGTATAGACGATGCATTACGTTTTATTGGAACCGTGTAAGGAGCTGTGCTCTAATTGCCTAATGCTCAGCTAGTCATGGTTAGGAAAGCAGTAGTATAAGTCTAACAACTCCATTAGATACTTTCATTTTGACATTGTATAGCCTCACTTACTCTGGCCAGGTTGTCAGATGTATTTTTCTCCGTTGCGAGACCAGCGCTACAGCGGTCATTGTGCAGCGCCATTTATAGAATTTATTTGAATATCAAGAATTAAAATTAACATATTCAATGAATCGAGATGAAGAGCTGGAACATCGCGTTATCTGCAAATAACGACCAATTAAATCTGTTCGCGCATTTTTGGTTTAAGGTAGCGGTTCGCGCCGAGATAGACCGCGATGGAGACCAAGATGTGATTCTACTGGCATAACATCAGTCATAGTACTGATATAAAAATCTGTCTGTCATTGTGAGATATTGAGGTAATTTAAAAAAGCATGTCAACCATCAACAGTCAGCTTCAATGAAACGCACAAGTGTCTGCAACCATCATAGGCGCCTGAGCTTTTCAGTAGACAGACATCTGTTTGTTTGGTTTCCATTGTCTGCCTCCAATGAGTAGACCGGTACCAAACTGATCGATGCTAATAAGCATGAGACACGGATGTTTGCATTTGACATAGTATGTCAAAGCTGGTAGCTTGGTGAGCACTAAAGTGCTCCTCTGAGTGAGAAGACGCCTACTGTGGTTAGCGAATCTTGGTACTGTTGAATGCTAAACAACACGAAACAACTTTTTTATGATTAGTTATTTATTATTGCGTGAAAGCTGGTAGGATGGTGAGCACTTCGTGGAGAGGTATCTCTGATGGTTGGCGAGACTTGTCCGTTTCAGGGAAGCGGATTTTTATTCAGAGATGCCGGGAAGTGTAAATGGTTTCTTGCTACCGACGAACCGCGTTTGGCGGAGTACTCATAGCTGACATTGTCGTCTTTTCGTGCATTAATATATTTTTTGAATTAGTTCTAAGCCACTTTTACCCTATGTTACTCCGATAAGAGTCTGGCTGAGTGACTGCGTATACACCATTGATATAGAATCTCTAGGGGATGTGGCATAACGTCTTTGGTCACGGGGTCACGCCACGATATCTGTCATACGAAACTGACACGTTAGCACAATTTCGGTTTTCTTCCAAAGTACTTGTTTTTCTGATACTATTTTCATTTTCCGTGTACTATTGCAAATTAGAATGGTGTTTTCTGCCCTAATTCGATGTAGGGGATGCCAAGAGTTCGTCCGACATGCCGTTTCACAGGTTATTATATTGCAGGATACAGGACCAACCTATAGGCTTTCTTAATCGCTAGTGATGTAAACAGAGTGGGGAACTTAAATCTGTTTCAATATGGTACAATTATGTCATTTTTGGTTCTGAACCCTGAGGCGATTTTATATAGGCAAAAGAGATTCTAATAGCGCCTCTCTAGATAATATCTCGACGATATTTACTATCTGCAATCGTTACGGGTGTGATCCGTCCAGTGGCGAAGCGTCCATGTAACCATTGTTACCATTGGTAACAGTTAAAAATCTTAAAAATAAATATTTTATGACTAAGTACTGTGAAATAATTTCATTTATTTGCTTACCAACAGCGATATGTAATAGTAATTCAGTAAATAGCAAATTAGCCCCACGAAAATAATGCGCCCTATACTGTCTAGGTTTTGCGAACACGATGAAGCTGACTCGCCTCGACTACCATTTTCATTTATGGATACACTTGGTAGTCCGTCGGGGACCGCCGGTACCCGCTCGTGTCTGATCGCGGCCGCCCGAGTGCGTGGGGCGCTGCGACTATTATGTGGGCTTGCTACCATTTTTTGATTTGATTACTAACTTCTCACTCGTCAATAGCCGTTTTTGGTTACCAGCTGCAGTGTGCCTGCAATTAAAGATGGCTGAGTGTCGCTGCGTAATCGATCAACTACTTGAAAAGTCATTCTTGTATAATTTTTAAGAAAAAAAGGAGATCATTGAAAATGGAAGACCAACACCTATTTTAGATAATTTTAAAAAGGAATAAAAAAACGTAGTTTGATATTTTAAATTAAGTTGGTATATGGAAACTCTTGGTTATGTGGTTGCAAAAAACAGATTGCATTGTTGGCGATGTCTTCTGTTTTATACAGAAAAAAATGGGTGGACCAGCAACGGAGTCAACGATTTAAATAGTTTTAGGGCTCTAAAGAGGAGACATGAAATTTCTCCGTTACATGTGAGATGTGTAGCCAATTTAATTCAGTTTCGCAAAACCCGAATCGAAAGTTGTCTTAACCAAGCTTTTGGGCAGCACACTTTTAGATACCGTATGTTTTTTGGCAAAACAGGAATTACCGTTCATTTTGAAGGGGATGACTATGACAATAGCGGAAATTACAGGGAATTATTAACATTCATTGTCAAAAAAGATCAAAAAATTTCCGAACATCTAGAAACGTCGACTGTTTTTTCCGACGGCTTGGATTACTCATAGCATAAGACGATGAGGTATATCAAGTGCCCCAGACGCTCAGTACAGGAATATTTACCTTAATTTAAAAATAGTTTAAATAAAATACCTAAAATAAGCAAAAGCTTATATTTGGGAGGTTCAAAATTAACTTTTTTTGATAACAGTTTAGGAAAAGTCACGCGTCGCCACTGGATCCGTCATACACGTGCGCTTTTGCAATAATTGCGCACTACAGGTTTATTGACCTTATTTTAGTATGTTTGACTTCCACAGATGTCACCGTCATTGGGTCTGTCGTCGCCTGAATCCGCAGGCAGAGGATCAGCTGCCGCTGGCGATCCGTGGGCGCCAGTGGGAGCTACTGCCGCCGTCCCAAAGCCAGACCCGTGGGGTGGCGGCGGTGCCAGAGGCGGGCAATCGTCGCCAGCTCCTGGGGCACACTCCACGCCCTCCAGAAAGCAGGACCCCTGGTCGCCGGCTAGCCAGAGTTCTGGAGACCTTGAGGATTTCGATGTTATTACTAACAGGAATAAGGTGAGTGCATCATTTATTCTTTAACCCTTTGTGGTCAGGTGTATCTTTTTATCATGAAATTGTTCATTTTATATTATGTATATATTGCATTAGTACTGGTGAATAATACATGCACCTTCAAATTACATGCAGTTTTAAACAGCCGGCCGTCATCGGTAGTACAAATCTCAACAATGGCTTGATGACGCCTGCCTACAAAAAGAGATTAGACCTAAAACCAGGCTCCATGTTCTTCAATTTGCCAGATCACAGAATTCAGACAGCATTCGGACCAGTAAAACCATCCATTAACGTATCCTTACCAGGTAATACTAAGCCAGTTCTGCCATTTACACTGTGTGTCCAAAAGGACACGCTCCACAATTCCGCTCGATTTGAAAAATACAGTTATAATTTTTTTCTTAACAGATCGGGATTTACTGTCAGCTACGGGTGTGTCCTTATCATTAAAGATCCAAACTTTGGTTTGAGCCTTGTTCGGCACATCGTAATAATAGAGCGAAGTCTCGTCATCTGTCATGATGCTGTTCACATACCGAGATTGCCCCTTATCAAACATTTTCAGCATCTTTTGGCACCAAGTCTTCCGATCTTCCGTCAGACTATGCGGTACCCAGAGAGAACAAAGTTTCCTTACGTGTAAATGGTCATGCAGAATTGAATAAATTGCTGGTGCATGAAGGTGTAAGGTCTCGTCTATCTGTTGGTATGTCACTCTCCGGTCTTCGTCAAGCATTTTCCTCACAGCAGTAATGTTTTCCTCTGTTACTGACGTTCGCGGCCTGAAATTGCCTCTTTGAAATTCTCTGTACCATCTGAATATAGTCGGACGATGAGGCCAATCATTCTATATTGTAAACGTCATTTCTTCTAAGCGCTGGTCTATGCTTAAACCACGCGTAAAGTTATGCCGTAAAACTGCCCTTATCTCACTACGTGCGTTTGTTAAGTCATATTGCAAATCTTGTATTCTGCCCTTTGTATGTATGGTTGCTATCCAGGACGTTACACTATTTCCAGAGAACTGAAAGTTTTTATTGTTTCGAAGCTATAATATAGAAAAGTCCCTCTATTCGATGGAATTATCAATACAACTTTTGTTGCGCTTGCTAGAAAACCCCCCTATCGGAAGTTGAGCGTTTACATTAATTAGGTGCGTGTGACTATACCTGATGTTAACAGCATAATCTCAGTCGTTAGATATCTATCAGATTTGTCGTTTTCTATTCTGACGACTTCACAAAAAATATGCGAATTTGTATTAACTCAGTGTACACGCGTATATCTATCTGTACATACCTTTTCGTCAGATTTCCAATGAAAATATTTCCGAAGAAAACGCATCCACTGGATGACTGTTGGACTGTCGCTTCCTACTTAGCACTTACTGATTTTTAACATTCTGTATAATTGGCGATAAAATCGTACTTTCGGCACTTCAATGATGAATTTTATTTACAGACTTCATCTCCAAAGTTGAATGGTGCTAGTAGCAATAATAACGCTAGCAGTGATCCCTTTGAGCTCAATTTACTGGGCGATTCCCTACCGCCTGTAGATCCTGCAGTAACTGCTGCAAAGAAAACTCCACTCAGTTTTCTTGGCGAAAACTCTGCTCTTGTTAATTTGGATAATCTAGTGACTGCTAGTAAGTATCCTTATAATTCTTATCTACTATATCTTACTATATCTCATATAATACTTGTAAGTACTATAGAAGTAAGTATGATAAAATTTCGTATATTCAGTTGTATTTGGTTTCTCATGCTATTTTTGTTTGGCACGGCTTTTACTATAGATGCCTCACTGCCGGTATTTTCGTTCTTGGGCTCGATGTGCATATAAACATATGGTTTTCTTGTTTGTCTCACGCTTAGCGTTTTTGAAAATCGCTTTTTGACTTCAAAATGACTACTAAATGGTTGGTGCTTTGCTTATGTCTATTTTTTTATATATATCAAGGTTGTTGGGTGTTATTGATAAGATGTTGAAGTAATTTTTGAATAAATACCAGCATCTTGCTGCATACCAGTTTACTGCAGTTAATTTAATCATAAATATTGGAAACCCGGAGAGTTAAAGATTCGTGGCCGGTGGCCCCTTTGAATTCTGGGAGTTTGAAAAAAATGGTAAAACTATGCCGTCTAAAAAAAAGATGTGCAAAATCTGGGGAAATGCTGCAACCACTTTTGCCAGTGCCTTATAGATCGCGCGTAATAGATATTCGAGAAAAAGTAAATAAGTATAATGAGGTAATCGTGCTCGCAAGACTGACAAAAAATACTACCTATTATAGTGTAAATACACCAAACTGTACTCTAGTTAATGTAGTATTCAGGTGCTTGTATGAATGTGCCATTATTTTTATAGATACTGTTTGCACTGCGTTTCATTGCTAGTGGAAGCTACCTTCTTGACGTAGACAGAAATCATACTAAATTTCAGCTAGTCATCTCTCTCAACCAAGAGTATTTTGGTGATAATTGAAAAAAGCATTCGTTGCCAAGGTGTGCCAGTCGAAATGAACTTAAAGCGTGTCCGCACAACAACTTGAATACCTAAACCAAACGTTTAATGCTTTTGCCGTACATGATTCGCTAACCGTTTTGAGAATGTATCGCTTTCAAGCTAAATAACGACAATACCGTCCAGAGCTGGTTGAAACATTTTTTTTATTAGTTCACTTTGGAATATTTGACTTGAACCATTTTCTCAAATACTTCAAAATGCTGTTGAAAGGCAGGACTGTCATACTCATTAGCAGAGAAAATGGAACACTCAATAAAAAAGCATGAACGTCGACTGGTTCTTCTACAATATTTTTTTTAACATCTTTTACCCTTGAATACCAAATAAGGACGTACAAGCTTTATTTTTGCTGGGTGTTATGTTTTCTTTGTCTCTGAGGTTATTTACCTCAAACACAATATTTCCACAGTTAATTTTGTTCTAGTTCTCGCCTGACTTGAAATTTGATAATCATTTGCACACATTTTGCTTGGTTCCTTCTTATACATTCAACTTCTCTAATTTATGCAAAACAAATCACTAAAGCGTCGCTAAAAAGTAAAACTTCCTCACGCAGTATTTCGAATGTTACTCAACAATCAGCTGTTTGTTGCTACGTTTTGTGATGAAAATTACTGACTTATGTATAATCTGATGTTTCCAATTTCAGCTAAACCGAATAACCCAGCGCCCGCTGCAAATCCGTTCTCAGATCCAGCAGTTGCGGCCGCAACAGCGAGGCCCATATTTAACCAGAACCCACCGAAACCTAGCATCAATGAGATGAAGCAGCAATCATTTGCTTCTTTTGCGGCACCGATGCCACCTGCTGCAGGTTTCTCTACTACTGCCTTCAGTACTACACCGCAATTTACCGCTGGTTTCGGAACCAAGTAAGTTTTAAGGGATGTTGTCGCCAAAAGCAACTCGACGGCAGTCCGTCTTTAAGCCGATTTCGACTTCGCATTGCTTTTGCATTCCCACTGAAGCAACTGACAGTCTCACTCTGAGATAAATCCACGAACTATACACTTGCTAATAAGAAGCCAGAACGGATATAGGCCATTTTGGGCCTTAAAAGCTGTGTTTAAAAGAAGAAAAGCTCCCCATGTAACGTTGTCATCAGTTAAAGGATTATATTCGGCACAAGTAAGCCGTTTTGACAAAGAAGTTAGCTATGAACATGTATAACACAAAATTAAATGGACAGGTCAGTCAAACAGACCAATACAACTAGTCCATAGTCGCGCGAAGTTCAAACCCCGAGTGCGACTGTGTGTTGATAATAATCCTGTATTATATTAATTTTTAAAGGTAAATGTGTGGGAAAATTATGATATGTGAAATATGTCTTAATAGGTGTGAGGAATTACTAGGGATGAAATTGTAAAATATACTAACGCCAAAAAATTGAGATGTACCCAACCCCCTACAACCCTCAATTTTCAACCTATGCTGCATGGACTATAAGAAGTTTGTTTTTTCTTCCCACGCCTAGTGGCGAGGAAGTATTGTAATCGCCAAAAATTTCGTAAATGAGAAATTTTGATTATTGGATGTTTTATGACATGTATATCACGAAAACCACGTCATTAATTTCTGTCGGTATATGTGTTGGTCTGTCCGCTAATCTTTGAAACGCCTATAACTTGGAAAGTACTAATCTGATATGGATGAAATTTTCACACAAGGTTACTACAATGCCAAGGACGAAAAAGCTTTTGAAAATCGGTCCAGTGGCGGCGGAGCTAGGGGCAAAAAACGAAAAAAAAAAACTTGCTCAGAGGCCCCCTGATCATTTACAGAAAAACTTGTTAATGTTGGAAATCGGGGGTGGCGATGATTATATCACATCTATAAGCAAACAACCAAGGAAATATTTATAGACCAGACACACGTCTCTCGGGACTATGCGATGATGCAATGGCGACTTTCGTACGTGGAACCCTGCCTTGCGTCTGACAGCATCGCCGGCAGGCATGGTATAGAATCGAGGCTGGCGCTTATGAAGTGTTTATCGACTGGAGTGGTCCAGTAGCGTTCCCAGAAGGATACTTGGGGCAGGGGAGAAACTAGCGTTAGCATTATCAAATTGATGGGGACTATGGAGTATGTACTAATTGTGTATGGGCTTGTTTGGTTGACTAGGCTTTAATTTTTTTTATACATATTTGTAGCTAGCTCAAATGGACTAACTTGGGCCGAACATAATCCTTTATGAACTGATAACAGTGTTGCGTGGGAAGTACATACAGCGTCAACGTGATGTCATTTTTTTCTACAAAAGTATGTCCTAGTGTGAGTATAGGTAAAAATACAATGTTTGGAGTATAATTGCTAAAAACCCAAAAAGCTCATCGAATTTTCTGTAGATTTTGTTACTATTGATTTGAAAACTTCCGACCACGGATTTATCGAAAACCACTGATTAAAAGAAAAAACGCCGAGACACGTCAAAAGATTTGTCAACGGGGACAACTTTTTAACCAAAAACTACTTCAACCCCTTTTCACCCTGACCCTCCCAGGGTCGTTCCCTTAAAAATTTTCAATGACAAGGGGTATCGAGTAATAGCTTGTTTGAAAGGTCTTTCGAAGTCCTTTATTTTGACATTTGATTTTTTAAAATCACTTAATCCTTTTTTAAGAAAATTAGAAAAATCTTTATTTATCTTAATTTGTTCATATAGAAAATATAATCACATGAAAATATCACTTTTTTTTCATCAAGTTTATAAATTAAAACGGAAACTACCAACATAAACAGCAATTCGGAAGATTAGACGTGGCAGCAACCAAATAACAACCCGAATTTTTTTCCGCATTCTTTTCATCAACACAGATATCCTGGGCGAACTGTATTTATTGTTATATCTGTTTAGTTATTTGTTTTTAAGGGAAAGAAAGAATTTAATTTGCTGTCAGTTACCTTTGTGACAATCTTGGCATAGTGAAAATTAATTTATTGATTCAGATTTTACTTCCAAAATGGTTTACTCACTAGCCGACAGAGTGGAAATGATTTTAGTTATGATGTCCAAAATCAATGTGCTCGGCAAACTGCCGTCACGTTCAACGCCACACATCCGGGGAAGATAATTTCGCATACATGGTTTTAACATTGTTACTATATTTACTCAGACTGAATCTGTTGCAAATAAAAAACGTGATCATCGGAGAGTTTTGGATAAAGCCGCTCAAGTTTTGGGTCATTTTGTAATAAATCCTAGTACTAGTACGCAAAATTGTTGCTGCGACTGGTATTTCATTAGGCAGTTTTGTGAGCAAATAACTGCAGCGATTAATGATAATACCATCCATGTAAAGAATATCTGCTGATGAATGCTCATTTTTTCTAAATGGATTTGTTAATAAGCATCACTGCAGGTATTGGAGCAAAGAAAATCCTCGTGTTTTTGTAGAAGGGTATACCCAGTATCCTCAAAAAATTAATTTATGGGCAGGCATTTTAGGAAACAAAGTGATTGGGGCATTGTTTATTAATGGAAATTGTAATGGAGACATTTATTTGGATATGTTGGAAAATACCATCAATCCGCTTATCACTGAAACCATTAAAAACCAAATCGAAGAGGATGGAAACCCCATACTTGATGAGGCTGAAATATATTTTCAGCTAGAAGGCCTCTCCTCCTCATGCTTTGACGACATTAGACTTTTTTCTATGGGACCATTTGAAATCTATTGTTTTCTCCACACCCTGAAAGTTTAAACGAACCTCAACGCATCGAAAGCTGCCATGATATCCCACAACATGTTTTTGAAAATGTCCGTCAGGAATTTGAACATCGCCAATAATGGGCAATATTTTGAACAGTTATTGAAATAACAGTGATATTTTCGTGTGTTTTTGTTTTCTATCTGAACAAGTTAAGATAAATAAAGATTTTTCTAATTTTCTTGACATCGAATCGACCGATTTCAAAAATCAAACTTCAAAATAAAAACAAGCTATTACTCGATACCCCTTGTCATTTAAAATTTTAAGGGGATGACCCTGGGGGGCAGAGGGTAAAAGGGGGTGAAGTAGTTTTTGGTTAAAAAGTTGTCCCCCTTGACAAATCTTTTGACGTGTCTCGGCGTTTTTTCTTTTAATCAGTGGTTTTCGATAAATCCTAGGTGGGAAGTTTTAAAATGAACATCCTGTATATACAGATATATTACCAAAGAAACATACGTCATAGGTACTTTTATTCACACCCTGTAGACCTAATATCAGATTATTTCATGGTGTATACATATAGAGATGACTAAAAAACAATGCCATTTTACAAATATCAGTACAACCCTGAAATAGTATGTCAAAATAACACTTTTTAGTAGAATTGAGGGGGTTATTACTTTTATTCATATCACTTTTTCTCTTCGAAAAAATCTAATTTTCTTAAAACCTCATTTTGGAGCAAATTGAGTTTTGAAGAAAGGCAAAGATTTTTTGAAGAGAGAAAGTGATAAGAAAAAAGTAATCATCCGTTCAGTTCTTCCATAAAAATGGAATATTCACATACAATTTAAGTGCTGTACTATTGATCAGTTATGATTGAAGAAAAAATGCATAAATAATGCTCAAAGAGGCACTGATAACATGTTGTCATGACTGCTCAGTCATCTCGATACACATCATGGACAATAACAATAAGAGTTGTATATCAAAGTTGTATATCAATTGAATGTATGTTTTGCAGTGGTAATGCTTTTGCTCCACCGCCAGTGCCTGTAATGCAAGATCCTTGGACACCTATTCCAAGCTCTGCAACTCAATCTAGTACCGCATCTCCATGGAAGGCAAACGAACCAGCTAATCCATTTTTATCTTAACGCATCACTAAGATCATCGAGCGATTCAGGAGGTCTAATGGTAAGCTATTTTATCATTTCATTGCTAAGACAACTAAACCAATATTAATAAAAAGATAGTAGACTGACTTCTGTAGCTAAACAGGAATAGCTTTAAACCTTTAGTGGGACTCTATGGTGGTAATTGAAAATTACTTCACCACGTGAGCAGAAACAGAGACGAAACAGTAAAGCATGTTTTGTGCAGATACCCTGCAATTGCCAGAGTCAGGGACAATAAACTTTTGCAGTAGTAGACCTGAAGGATATTTCTCCAAATAAACTGATTGACTGCCTCATTGAGGTCGGAATTACTGGGAGAGATAGGTGCGAGCTGCAATATACCTGTGAGTCGCAATGAAGGATAGTGATTGACCCACTTGCAAAAAACCTAATCTAATACGCAGAATTGACAATTGACAAATTTTGTACACTGGTACTAACTGGTAGCTAAAAAGTATTTCAGAGTACCTAATCGGTTTCAAGAGAAAATAAGCATCTTTTGATAAGTCTGTCAAATAAGGAGTGTATGCAGCTTATACCCCATGATTCATCTATACATCATATTTAGTGTTACATATATTGTTATGGCCTAAGAATACATTTTTGAACATTTCCTCAAATGCTAATCTATTGTAATTTTAGGTGAGGCAGGAGGCAATACCTCCAGGAATCAAGAAAAATTATATGGTGCAAATTACTATTATAATAGTGAGCTTTTTATATTTTCACGTGTATACCTCACATACATAATACAAACTTATACTCTGCCCATTTTTGATGAACAGTTTTTGTCTCAAAAAGGGAGTGGTATGATATTTTTGTATGTAAATGCAGCCTATAGATGTCTGGTTTAATGTGAATTAAAAGATATTTGCTCATTGTCACAGTTTTGATGGTTTTAAGAAAATTAGATACCACATATCTGTTTCATTTTTATTTTTCGCATCTGAATGCTTTAAAAAACATTAAAAATCCGTCACTGAATAGACTGAGGTTCGCTGATTTGTTGTGTATATTTCGGTAAATAGATGAGATACCTTGAAATTTGTTCAGTTAAACAATTTATGGATTCAGTGGGAATTGATTTTGCTGTAGTTTTCGGCTGCTACGACGTGTCAATTTTTCACCATGTATTGATCCACCACAAAAGCGCCAAGTGATAATTTCCAAGTGGTAGCTGAGCTCCATGTCGCACAATTTCTTTAACGGAATGGGGGGGGGTGACGTGTCACGCGATATCAATTTTGGAGCTCCTTTAAAGTGAGATATATATTTCTTTTCACGGTTTTTCGATGTTACGTCATCAATGCAATAGGAAAATTGTACAACGGGCAAACCAATCTTGAGTGCAGCTACTGTTGCACACCTAAATTGTTTAATGAAGGACTATTGCTTTCATTCACTTTCTCAAAATACTACCATAATTTTTGCAAAAACTATCGATATTGTCCGTTAGTCATATTTTCAGGTACTTCTGTGTTCTATATAAAGGAGATCTATAAAAAGGTAAACTCAAAATGGTACGCCCTTGACAAGTGGGTTGTCACATTGAGGATGTCAAATAGACATACATTATTAATACTCATACGATAGCGATACATTTTTTTAGGTGGCGAGACAAAACTAAAGAATGTATATATGTCTGACTTACGCACACAGAGGCATATTGCATATGTGTGTGAGAAATATGAATGTCGGTAGTTTTAGTATGACCCGCCAAAAACCATGAAATGAACTATAGATTTTGCCAATTTTCTCGAAATGGAGTGTTTCAAATTTTATTACATATTCAAAATGCTCGACGTTGACAGCCTGGCACTCCGACATTTTTAAAGACACCGATTTTATATTCTTGGGTCATAAAGTTCTCACAGAGCTTCAAAATGATGTGTCTCATTCTATTTAAAAAATGCTACAAGCTTTTTATGGCAATTTTAGTTTACTCAGTGGACCCGTTCAAAAAACAAGTAGGGGGATGGCCTTTTTTGAAAAGCACTGTATACAGTAAACATCTTCTGCAACGTGTTGATAGATAGTTGATTTCGATCCAGTTTACTTTCTTATCTAGATTCACTTCAGTTGTGTTATTGACGTACTATATAAAAGAAGGGAAATCGAGTTGGGAGGTGTAAACATTGACATTTCTTATTTTATGTCTTTTATGTGCAATCATTTTTTATATTATCGCCGACACTCGTTCTTTTATTTCATGGGGATGCCTCTTCTTCAAACGGTCCCTGGTGAGCATGAATCGTAATAGTAGATGACACAAGTGTAGTAATGAATGGTGGAAGTTACCGGTCCTGCTTTTGGTTAGTGTTTCCCCTCGGTTATCAATGACGATTCTTCACCGGTATTTTATTATCGATCGGATATGGCAATAAGGTGCATGCGCTACCCGGCCGTCTGGTCTAGTTCATCATAATTTAATTCAGCAGCTAAATGTCTAAGCATATTTATTTATCTGATCAGATTATTGCATCAATTTAGATGTTGTATATTATTTTTATATGCATTTATTTATGGGCATTCATTGTAATTATTGGAAAATGGCACATGAAGATTCTCACTGTAGCCATTGCTACGGAATTCTGAACTTGTTTCAAGGTTGTTGAAAGCAATTTTTAAGTAGTAAAATTTTATATAAAGGTTGATTTTTCTAAATGACAGTTTAATACAGTAGTTTTTAGTTACTGGCAGTCATTAAACTCTTAATCAAAAATTACTTCGTTTGATATTTTTGGAAGAGTTATACATGAAACAATCGTTTTAGACAAGTGCAGTTTTTTCAAGGTAGAAATGATTTTTATTGAATGGTTTTTGTCAGAGCTTATTTTTAAGGTTAATGTATATTTATTTATTTGTTTCCAGATGTTGTTTCCTTAAAAATATTGATATTTTTATTCTTTTATTATATATTGTTCCCACAGTATTTCGTAAAATTTCATTATGCTCGAATTTCAGCATACATTGTGAAATAGCCTTATTTTTTGTATAAAAATGAGATATATTTTAGCTTTAAATGTAATTCAAAAGAATTAATATATTTCTTTTTTATTGTAAATTGATTTATTTTGTAAATATATAAATATAATTTTATCTATTAATCGTTAAACATATTATTTCAAATACTAAATACTTTGTGTATATAGTTATCAATTATATTTTTAGCGTAAGATTTTTGTATTATATTTATGCAAACAAGGAACACTTCAAAAAATATTTAGGGGTATTATGGAATTTAATGTATTATTATAGCTATTTTCACCTACATTTCATAAAAGAAATAAAAACTATAAAAGTATAGTCATGTCTATTTTCCATTACCAGTTACCAAGGTGTGTGTAAAAAATATCATCAAGGTTATGGTGACTTGCCTTAGTTCATGAAAACGTTTTTTAGGTCTCTAGCACAGCGCCTTAGTATGATACGCTTTTAGTGGCTTTTGGCAGCAACATGATCGTGCATCCTGTGAACTATATGTTACTTTATAAGCCTGCCGTCACTTTTGAAGGATGTTAAGCGTCACCGTAGATATACGAACTAGAAAATAATGTGTATTCTTTTTGTATCTAATTATTTCTACACCAATTTGTTATCAACTACTCTTCAAGTTGAACCATCAGCCTATTTAATGAAGGTAATCGTCACGCAAAATTTCTTTCTCTAACTCTCGTATAAATATTAATTCTATTATCGGATGTTATGTATATTTACATTTCGAACATGAGCTCGCATAGCAATACTACTCGCAGGTTATTGACGATAATTGTACAATCGATGCACCACATTGTTAATTTTTTTTTACTAGGACTCTAGGATTGTTTGGCAAAGGAAACTACATATATGTGGATTACCTCTTTACTGATATTAGCCACCACGGTGGCCTTTCTTAAAATACAGCTGACAGTGACAACATACGTTATGTTTATCTGTCTTGTAACATTTGGTCAATCAATCATGAAGTCCTATCAACATGAAAAAAAACCACAGGATACGTTTCAGATGTGTACGTTATATATTGCTATTTATATCATCTCCGTTTTAAATATAAAAATAAATACTGTTCCGGCATTTATCACTAACATAGTACTTCCTCCATACTGGTTCCAGTGTAGTACAGCAGTGCTGAGTTTCCAAGTGCGGATATAGTAGACAGAGGAGGTTTGTGAATTTTTTAAGAGCTAAAAAAGTATATCCCAAACTTTCCCTTTTGATGAATGGAAAAGGACTTTTTCTAGGGTCACAAATTGTAGTACTCCATTATGTCTCCTTCAGCCACATTTCTAAAAAGTATAGTTGCTGCCTTTGACCTTGCAATGAAGGGACTACACACAATAGAGTAATAAATTATAATCATGCGACACAAACTGCAGATTGTACAGGTTCGGTATACAAACTAATTTATAATAAAATCTGTTCAAATATGTACGTACGTTATATACCACTGTTTTGATAAGGTAAATATTTTGAATCCATGCTCACAGACACTACTTCTAATTTGTCATTCTAAAGATATGTAGCTTTAACTTTCCATGCTTCCCTCTATTTTTGTTATCGCGTAACAAAGATTTCGTCGACCATCGGGTGTGTATTCATATACTGTGACATATAAAATGCAACACCCAGAATTATTTATTGAATTTAGATGAAAACTTGTAAATATATTTGCTATCATGGAAGTCGACGCTGATAAAAATTGAAAGCATTCCGAGCTGTACTTTTTGGTAAAGGCTTTTTTTGTCATATCAAGATCCGAACAATATACTTAATATTCAGTGATTTTTCTGTGTTGGTTCCATTTGTTTCATTGCATTATCATGCCTAGAGTTCGCAGAAGCGCTAATTTCACTCAACTTTCCGAGTTTGAGAGGGGTCGGATAACCGGGTTATGTGAAGCCGAATTTTCTTTTAGAGAAATCGCTAATCGGGTGAGTAGAAACGAAACTACTGTAATGAGATGTTGTCGAGCGCGGTTCCAAGAAGGCCGAAATCGACGAGTTAGAGGTACTGAACGTCAAAGAAAGACTACAGAGTGACATAATCGTTATTTGAGACAACTAGCACTTAGAGATCGATTTTCCACAACAAGGGCAGTTGCGAACCAGTCGTTTGATACTGTCGGAAGGGCAATAACAATGAGGACAGTTTATCGCCGAATAAGGTCTTTTGGACTGTTTACATACCGTCCCCATCTTGTACTACCCCACAGCAATATCGGCAACGATTGGCATGGACTAGGGAGATACCTGAATGGATTAGAGTTCATTCGACAATGACTGCCATCGCTATATCCACGAAGTTTTACAACTAAATTTGCTTGCCTTTTTGGAAACATTGCAAGATTCACAAACATTGGAGGCTCTACGAAACCAAAGTCAGATGCCCTGTGATACAATACACCAAGAAGACATCAATCAATTAGTCCAGTCAATACCGTGACGACTTAACGAATGAGTAACGAACAGAGCAGCTTCAACACATTATTAACATTAAGATGAGATATCTCAGCTATTTTGCGAAATTTCGAGTTAAAATTTTAATCACTTATTATTTATCAGTAGACCTCAAACTTGTAAATGTATGCTCAAAATTACAGCACTCCTAGTCGGTGTTGCATTTTCTATGTCATTTAGTATAGAATTGAAGGAGATATCCCAAAAAGAAATGTAAGAAATGTTGGCCGATGTGGTGTTCCTTACCTGAAATATATTCAGTTCTGTACAGAGTTATCGATAACTAAGTGGTTTAAGAACACGCATTTTTACTTCCCCCGCCTTCTGGCGTATTGTAATCGCGAACAATTTCGAAAATGAGACATGTTTTTTGCATGTTATATATGACTTATACATGACGAAAAATCTTGTCACTCATTTCCGTCGGTCTGTTTGTTGGTCTGTCTGTCCGCTAATGTTTCGACCGCCTAGAACTTTGAAACTACTGCTCGGATTGGGTTAAAATTTTCACACAAGGTTACTACTACGCTAAGGTCGAAAAAGCTTTGTAAAATGAGTAAAAATCGTTCAAACTTCGTTTTTTTACGTTTCAGAAGCTCCTGATCATTTTCAGAAAAAAAATTGTAGGGGTTTAAAATCGGGGGTTGGAGGTTGTAGGGGCTGAGGGAGGGTATATAACATTTTCTGACTGCAGTATATTTTTACGCTTCCAACCCTAGTAACTTAACGCACCTATCATTACATATTTCGCAGATCAAGAATTTTCCCTTATTATTAATAGATGCGACACGCGGTGTGTCCGGACAATTGGAAGTTAACCCTGCCTTGCGTCTGATAGCATGGCCGTCAGGGATGTTATAGTATCGTGGTTAGATCTTATGGCATGTTTGACTGGTGTGGTCCAACAGCGTGCAGAGTTATCCTACTTGACGTCATTATTTAAAGAAATACTATAGGTTTAATACAAAACCTTCATGATCAAAATCAAAAATAATAAAAATAGTGATTTCAAAGATATATAAATAAATCGTCGCTACTGGTTCCAGTACCAGAATCTCTCTTTTTTCTGTATGAATAGCTTAACATACTCAACCGGAACATGCACATCAGAAGTCTTCATGTCATTATCAGTACTATTCGATCTATCAACTCTAGTAATCCCATTGGGTGTACTAATTGTTTCTCTCAATTTTAAGGGAAGTGCGGTACTCGTCTAATAATATAAAAGTAATTTCAATGACAAGAAATGGATGCACCTAAACTAGTGTATCCTAAAACCTTTGATGGACATGAAATGGTAATTAGTATTATGTGAGAATGTGTTTACATTCTCGTATCACTACAGACGATGTACGCCACCAGCAAATCATGGTTTACCAGACCAGGCCAAAATCGTCTGTCATTCCTTAATTTATTTTTGATGTGCTCTTTCAGTGATATCTTTTTCATTAGTCAGCTATTATTTCATATCTTCAGTCTTACTAGGTAAAAATAAAAACACAAAAACAAGACAAAACAAACTAAAACCTAAAAACATACAGAAACCCACGTGAAAACTGTACAGAGAAATGAGGACCTGGAAAATTTTCGTTATTATAAGTGCACACATGGAATTTATCATAATGAATAAATGAGTCAATGACAAATGGTATTTCTCTGGAAAAAGATATTGTATCAACATAAACGGTACATTTCCTAAACCTAGAGTGTGTATAAAAATAAATACATACATCACAGCTACTGAAGCATATGGCCAATACAGATTGTTTATCTGAAAATATATCACGCATATCTTTATCGCTAAAATGATCGATATACCGGTAGAAGATAGTAGTAAAACTACTTTCTTATTGAATTTTGGTATGATAAAGATGCCAATTATACTGGCGACAAAAAGTATACAGATGTACCCTATAGAAACGTACATGGCATTCGGTACATGAGATCTTTCAAAAATAATTTGCGTGTATACTACTGTTGATGGAGCACCAGTGAATTGCTGCAATATGGATATAATGACAAAAATGAAAAAGTGACTATGTAGCTTCTTGTTCCTCAACAATTTGATCATTCCATACCTCTCAACCGTACTGTTTAGATTTTCTTTGAGCATATTTATTTCATTGGTCACATTCAAATGAGGCTTAATATAAGAGATTAGCCTTCTAGCGTCACTAATTTTTTTTGCTTTGATCAGTTCTTTAGGTGTAGCAGGTAAAAATGCCATAAAAAATACTAGTGCAACACTCGTTATGAGACAAACCATTGACGTTTCTCTGAAAGCCAAAAAAGGTCCAAAACAATAAATGGCTATTACTCCACCTAAAGCGTAGAAGTTGATGAGCTTCAAAAATATTGGTTGAAGTTCCTGGTTACAGATACCAGCAATGTAGAGCTTGACCTGCCCAATGCCAAATCCATGTCCAAGGCCTACTAGTAATCGACTACCTGAAATTTGAAATGAAATAGGAGCTATCATTCATACACATTTATGTACTGACTACAGCAGTAGTTGATGCCATTGAGCGAACTGTAGGAAATCGTCTGGTGAAATAACTTGCCAAACAACTCGAATCAACGAATTCGAATAGGTACAAGGAGACACTCAATAATTTGTTTCTCTCCTTATTCTCATAGCAGTCTAATGACATTAGCATATTTCTCCGAAATAACTGTAAATTTCGGTTTTATTGGTGCAAGTTGTGCAAGGCGGTATTTAAAACATGGACGCATAAAATGGGCATACCAATTTTTATGGGAAACCTTTTTGACAACAAAGAATGAGAAAACGTGTTTTTCGGATGCAATTGTTGACAGGAACAAAAAAACTTTTCATACAAGGTAGGTTTGTATGAGACCTACAAAATGAGAGCACACGTGAAAAGATCCGACTTATAGCAAAAATGCTATGGCCGCAAAACGAGGCAAAATGCAGGTTTTGGCACTCGTTGGTAATGCGACGATAATTTCACACAACTACTTGAAGTTCTTCAATTCCGTAGAATTCATACTTCTAAATAACAACAACAAAATTGGAGTATATTGGTAAAGTAGTTTTTTGAGAATTTCTGATTGTTTATCCCAAAACACCTGTTTTCCGGCCATCACTACTAGTTTATTGAGCAATATACAGGGTTCGTTCAAAGGGCATTTAATAGCAAAATACACGTGTTTACCTTGCCGCTATGAACCAAAAACCATTCCGAAAGATAAATGTCATTTTTATGCGAAAAACAAAGGTTACGTTTTTTTTTTCTTCTAAACAAATTCAAACATTTCGTATTTGTGAGGAATTGAACAAATGCGTTACGATATTCGAAAAGCATACGTTACTATACACATTTTAAAACAGAGCAGATGTGTCTATCATCTTTTGTTGCGAATTACTCACAAATACGGAATGTTTGAATTTGTTTAGAAGGAAAAACGTAACCCATCCATTTTGCATAAAAATAACATTTATTTTCCGGAATGGTTTGCAATTCATACCGGCAAGGTAAACTAGTGTATTTTGCTATAAAATGCCCTTTGAACTAACCCTGCATATTGCTTAATAAACTAGTAGTGATGGCTGGAAAACAGGTGTTTTGGAATAAACAATTAGACGTTCTCTCATTTGAAGAATTCCAAATATCTGCGAGAAACAATTGTTGCATTACCAACAATTATCAAAACATGCAGTTTGCCTCGGTTTTCGGCCATAACTTTTTTGCTATTAGTCGGATCTTTTTACGTGTGGTCTCATTTTGTAGGTCTCATAAATAAAACAATAAAAATCTTATATGAAGAGTTTTTTCGTTCCTGCCTACACTTTCGATTGAATCCCAAAAAACACGTTTTCTCATTCTTTGTTGTCGAATAAAAAGTTTTCCCACAAAAAATGGTGTACCCATTTTATGCGTCCATGTTTTGAATACTCGTACCCCTTAGATCAACTTGCAGCAATAATACCAGACTTTACTATTATTTCGCAAACCAGAGGTATTTTCGTCTAATATGGTTAGAGTATAGTTCTGTAGTTAGGATCAAACGCACTTGACATAAGTTCTGTCATTAAATTCTAATTTTTAGTGTTTTTTTTAAGTGCAAGTGCAGATAACATTGAAAAGTTTTGTTACTCTCCGATATTTTTGCGGGTTTTTTTGCGTTTACTGTGTTGTACTGAAATCTAATATGCAGTCAGTTTCTCCTACCACAAGTTTTTAGAGAAGGGAAAATATAAAATGATGAAAATCCCAATTTATAAGCGAACTAGTTGTGCATTTTTTAAAAATAAAAAAAAACGATATATATGATATATAGAAAATAGGTATACTTCTTTATGAAAAAACGATCAAAAAATGTATTTGGCTGTCTTTCTTCGTTTGTATTTGCCAGGAGCGGTTTCACGTTTAATGGTACCGCAGTAGTCCGCCAGCATGTTTGGGGCCCATTTTCTACTATAGCGCTTCTCCATCTGAGCAATTTGCTGGTGCAATCCTTTGCCGTGCTCATCTGAAACTGCTCTCAAATTGTCAGGGACGAATTCTAAATGGGAGTGAAGAAAATGCAGCTTAATGAAATATTGCAAACTGCCTTATAAAAATGGATCTTTGTAGTTGTCCAACTTTTTGTTGCCTAGGAAGTTGCTACATACATTTTTGAAGGCATCAGATGCCCTTTTTTACTTTCTTGAAAGTGTAATTTTAAAATTTTGGTTCTTAAAAAGTTCTCGTATTTGAGGTCCAACGAAAATTACTTCTTTAAGCTTTGCTTCACTTATACGCGAGAATGTCGGTCTCAAATAAAGGAATGCATTTCCTTGTCTTTCACGAAAATTTATTATAAGCCCTAGTATGTGCAGAGGAGGTAAATAAACTTTCTGCTGATCTACTAAAGATTCATTAAGGACATCTTTCTGGTTGGGCACAACGTTCTCACGTAACGGCCAATGTTGAACTAAATAATCTTGGTTTCTGGCTCTGCTGTCCAATTCACATAAAAAAACAATATTTTGTGAAGAAACTCTGCAGTCCTGTGAGCAATGCAATAACTTTGAGATCGACACATATACAGGGTGGCCCATCCATGTGTGGACGGAATATTACTCATAAACAAATACATTTTGGGAAAATATATTTATGGGATTTTATATATGACATTTGAGGGCACATTTCTAAAATATTGACCATTATACAGGGTGTCCCATATTTCGACCTACATATCAAAGTTTTGATTTTTCAAATGGAATGCCTCAAATTTTATTGCACATTTGGATAAGCCAATTCAAAAGAAGAAAATTGACATGACATACTATGGACTTTTGGTAATTAGCTACTGAGATATAAGGTGTTTTGTCTAGAAAAACCCCCCACTTCGGCAAACCCTTAGTTCGCCATTTTGAAATTTAGAGTGCTGAATATTTGTTACTTTTTCAGGGTGATCAAAAACGCAAATTGTAGTTTTTCTCAAAAATTTCAAATGCATCACCATGTATATTTGTGCAAGTTTGGATTAATTTTTGTATAAGCTTTTTTTGATACTAGACACATGAGGGTTTTTACGGCTATTTTTTCGGTTACTAGCACGTCTTTTATGGAACCGCTTAGTTCCCTAAAGTACCGCATCATCCTTGGAAACAAATAAATTGTTGATTATTTACAAACTGTCAAAATTAGCTTTGTGAGCATTATAATAAAAACGTGTTTGAAAATGAATTTTTCTAAAGAAGAAATGGTGAAGCCCAAAGAAATAGTTTCCTAACATCTCGCATTTATAAGCAACCGTACCCAAGTATGCGACATCCAAGGTCGGAAACATTTTCCACACTACGAGAACGTTTTGAATCAAGTGGAGCAGTGAAATATAGTAAAAATGTATAAGTAATGAAATTGTCACCAATGAGGCGAATCAGTTGGAGGTTCTATTAAATTTGCAGGAAAATTCCCACTTAAGTGCACGGCAAATTGGAGCAGAAACTGATATATGCAGAACTTCTGTCCAAAGGATTATTCACAAGCATAGGTACCATCCATATCACCTATGCTTGCATCAAGGCCTTCGTCCTCGGGATTTCGCAGCTCGAATGGAGTTTAGTAGAATAATGCTAAATAAAGTGAGTGAAGACACTACTCTAAAGGATAAGGTTCTTTTTAGCGATGAGGCAACTTTTAACAGCATAACATGCACTATTATGCGATGGAAAACCCTTACTGGGTTAGGCAAATAGATTAAATAAATGAAGCTTGGATGTTTGGGGAGGAGCTATTGGCAGACAAGTTATCGGGCCTTTTTTTTTCGACACCATATTAACAGGTACAGAATACTTGAATTTTTTGTTCGAGCCTTTGCCTTTGCTTTTGGAGGATGTCAACCTGCAAACTCGGATGCATATGTACTTCCAACATGACGGCGCACATGCGCATTATGATAATCGTGTGCGTAACTATTTGGACACCTGGAGTAACAATCGTTGGATCGGTGGTGATGGACCTTCTTTCTATGGGGCTACGTTAAGCAAGAGGTTTATAGACATCCACTATCTTCGCAGGAAAATATGAAGGAAAGGATTAAGGATGCTTTTCTGAAATAAGGGAACACATGCTGAGGGATGTGCAACGGTCATTTATCCAAAGATTACGGCTGTGTATTCAACATGGTGGAGATACTTTCGAGCAGTTTTTGTAGATTAGGTCTTGAGTAGTGATAGTTGTTTGTTTATGTTGTTCTTATTGTTGTTTTTATACGTATTTATTACGCTTGAAGATGATTTATACTGTTCTGATTGATATTAGTTTTTACGTCAAATCTGTACTCTTCGTGGCAATATGGAACTAGCCCACTGTTTGTCTTTTGTTTCCATGGATGATGTGATTTTTTCCTTAATTTTGGTGTGTTCTATTAAAAGCTTGATATCTCAAAATTTAGTGATTTTATCCGAATTATAAATTTTTGAGAAAAAGTACAATTTGCGTTTTTGACCACCCTGTATGAGCAAAAAGTAACAAATAAGATAAAAGCTGCGGTGTGTAAGTTTATTTTGATACAAAATTCAGCACTCCAAATTTCAAAATGGCGGATTGAGGGGTTGCCGGAGTGGACGGTTTTTCTGGACAAAACACCTTACATCTTAGTAGCTAATTACCAAAGCTCCATAGTATGTTATATCAGTCTTCTTCTTTTGAATTGGTTTAACCAAATATGCAATAAAATTTGAGGCATTCCATTTAAAAAATCACAACTTTGATATGTAGGTCAAAATTGGGACACCCTGTATAATTGCCAATATTTTAGAAATGTGCCCTCAAATATCATGTATAACATGCCATGAATAGATTTTCCCAAAATGTATTTGTTTATGAGTAATATTCCGTCCACACATCGATGGGCCACCCTGTATATAATATATTGATCATCAGATTTGATATTTATTTACCATGTAGCCTGAACGTCAGTAATTATTGATGCATAATGTTACGTAGAAATCCACTGATGGTACGGATCAGCTGCCCCCCTTGACCTCCACTGGGTACGCTCTTGATATGTAATCTTAACAACCAATGTGTAAGAATAAACAGGAAAAAAATAGGGGGGTACTTATGTTTATTTTGAAATTCGTAACGCAGTGTAATTAGCTTGTTGGAGTTCATGGAAACGATTGGAAATGCTCATGCTACCTACCTAGCAGATAATAGATATTGTTTGCCTGCCACATGACAAACCATCCAGATGTCATTGCCGCTAATCCAACTAACACTCCATACTTAGGTCCCAGTGATTCTGTGGCGGAAAGTGGAGTGCCTATCGTATTCCCCAACATAAGAAAGCCTGCTATCATGGCACTTTGGTCCATTGAAATCAAAATTGGTGAAGTCACATTGTTTAAAAGGTAAGGGTAGGTTGGCGATGGCCACCCCAACATCAAACCAAACGGGATGCATATTAAAGATGCTGAAACAAAGCAAGAAATTATATACAATGAAAAGTGATAGTGGCCCACCCATATGGGGACGAACTATTGCTCCTAAACAAAAAAAAAATCGAACAGGACTACATATCGGTTATCATACAAGGTACTTGAGAACATTTCTAAAATACACACTATTATACAGGGTGTTCCAATTCTGACCCACATATCAAAGGTGATTTTTGTATCGGGTGTTTCAAATATTACTTTCCCCATTGGGATCTCGGAAACGGTAAGAGATACGAAGGTAGATAAGGGAAAAGTTCCGCATTTAGGTAACTACCATGAAGAGTTTCTCAATTCCGAGTATTTCCAGAGATAGACGAAAATCCTGAAATTTCCCAAAATCGTTTTTATTTTTCCCAGACTTTATTTGAGATAGGCTTTTAAAATATAAGTACATCAACATTGACACTTTTTATCCTCTACAAAATGGCGTAACTAGAATTTCAATATGACTTTTCTTGTCTTTTGTTCAATAATTCACTTTATTTTTTCTTACAGACACCATTTTGGATTTTTGCGCAGGTGAATAGAGTTTTTAATTCTGATTTCAAAAAGGTATGGTAGGTTATGATTTCCTTTGTAAAAACTTATAAGTTATTAAAAGAAAAACGAATACCATCTTAGTTGCTTGACAATGTTTTATCACACGTTTAACCAATTAAATCAACAATGCTTCAGTGTTTATAGGACATATAGATAATTGCTTATTGACTATAACAAGCATTATTTTAGCATGATGGAGGCGCCACATGACACCTCAGCCGTAGATTAGTATTTGAATGCAACATATACTAAGTGACATATAAATCCGAACACCCAGTTTAAATGGTTTTATTTTAATAAAAGTTGGTGAATGTATTTATCTTACTGTGAATAACAAGTGAACAAATTTTCAACCTTATCAGTTGGTCATTCCGGTTTTTATACTGCTTTTTTTTAATTCACTAACGCTCTAAAAATGAATATTTCAGCGCAGTAAAGAATCAACGTTGGCGGGTTTTGGTTCTTGACATCCTTTACGATCGGTTACGATACCTAGAGTACGGAGACCTGTACGATTTCGTCAACTTAGTGAGTTTGATAGGGGCCGTATAGTGGGACTTCGGGAAGCTGGACTTTCTTTTCGGGCAATTGCAGTTAGAGTGCAAAGAAGTGTAGACACTGTGGTTAGGTGTTGTCAGGCATGGCTTCGAGAAGGCTGTACGCAAAGAGCAAGGGGCACTGGACGCCGCCGTAGAACAACAGACCGTGAAGATCGCCGCCTAAGATTATTGGCCTTAAGGGACCGTTTCTCCACTACCAGGTCCATTGCCATGAATGGTTTGCATAACACGGAAGATCTATTGGCATGCGAAGTGTTTACCGACGAATGAGAAGTTTTGGCTTGTTTTCATACCGGCCACACTGGGTCCTCCCTTTAACTCGAGAACACCGACGTAATCGCCTTGAGTGGTGTAGACAACGGTCACTCTGGGATCAGGAATGGAACAGTATTGTCTTTAGTGACGAGTCTCGATTTTGTTTAGGCATGCACGATGGTCGTGCCAGGGTTAGAAGGCGACGTGGTGAAAGGAGGAATCCACAGTTTTTTGTTGAAAGACATGTTCATCACACTGTTGGAGTTATGGTTTGGGGTGCTATAGCTTATGGTTCCAGGTCACCTTTAATCTTCATCAGAGGTAACATGAATGCACAGCGTTATATCCACGAAGTTCTAGAACCCCATCTTTTACCCTATCTTGACACCCTGGCAGATCCAACTTTCCAACAAGATAATGCCCGACCACATGTTGCAAGAGTCACAATAGACTTCTTTCAACATAATGATGTCACATTGTTACCATGGCCACCAAGATCTCCCGACTTATCCCCAATTGAGCTCGTGTGGGATATGATGGGTAGGAGATTGCTCAATTTGCAACGTCCTCCTCAGACTCTAGAAGCACTTCGAGAGGAGTTGGTGGTTGCCTGGAATGAGATACCACAGGAGGACATTGACCACCTGATCAGAAGCATGCCTAGGCGCGTTGGAGAATGCGTAGCACATCAGGGTGCACATTATTAAAGGTCAAAGGGCTTTAAAGCAGTGCAATCATTTTGAAATTTTTATCATTTACTTATTATGCTTCATTAAGTACTTATACTTATACTATACAAAATTTTATTAAAATAAAACAATTTAAACTGGGTGTTCGGATTTATATGTCACTTAGTATATGTGCATCGAAAATGTGGAAAATGTGGTTTATTAGCTGCTAAGGGGGTTAATTTTTAATTATTAATCTAGTATTCGTCTTTCGTTTAAACGGAAAGTGCTATTTTTGTTAGTCGATATATAAACAACTCGACATACATCAAAAAATAACTATATAAACACCATTAACAATTATACCAGGGAAAAACTAGTAAAAAGTGGAATCCAAAAATGTTGAAATATACACGGTGTTCCATTTAATATTTTACAGAAAATGTGCGTTTTGCGTTTTTCACCACCCTGCATTGATAAATGAAAAAAGAACTAAAATATTGTATTAGGATGAAGTTAATAATTGACATTATCTACTCCATCAGTCAAGATAGCATAAATATGTAATAAAAAAATATATTTTGTCCTCATATGAAAAGCGTATCCAGGTCAAATCGAAAGGGGGTACCAAAACATTTTGTATCACAAAGTATATTCGCTATTCTTGATATTTTTCTTTGTTTAAATTTTATTACAGATCCCTTCACACTGATTTTCAACTAAAAACTATTGAAATGTATGATGAGCTTTACTTTCTTTCAGACTTCAGACTTGGATCGTATAATTGTACATACATTGGATGTATTCTTGTGATCCTTGGCCTCTCTATAGTCCAGAAAGCTTGTACTTTTGTGAAATCTAATGGCGCCGGTATTATAATTAAGTCATGCCTTATACGGGGCGTTCCTTATAATGTTCTTAGCTAATATGTTTTGTATGCAAGATACAGTTCTGCGAAATTTTATGTTTATAGGTCAAATAGTTTTAGAGATTCGTGACTAATGAGCGACTACCTTTTGGCATATACATATATATATATATATACAGGGTGACTTTGAAGTTGCGTCAATTTTCAGATAATGATTGTAGAAGGAAGATAAACCAAAATATGTGTGTAAAAATAAAAAAAAATAAAAAAAAATGTTTACCTTGTTTTATAAAGTATCCTCCCGACAAGTATTTCAGTGCGGACCTGTATTTGATCGTGAGGTCTTGGAGCACCGGCATGCCGTCCCCTGTGAGGTCTTAAGTCACGAGCCCGTTGTACTACATTAACAAAGGCACGAGGGGTTGGTTGCACTCGATTGGGAAACCGATCCGCATAAACATGTGCCATTTTTTATTTCGTTTGAGCCACGCAACATACACCACTATTCACTCACGCGTTACCGACTGACACTGACTGTATACAACTGAATAAAATAATTGTAAAAACATCGTTCCAAATTCTTTCGCTTTTTTTGTTTCCGATGCGATGAACCGATAAGGCGGATTATATCCGTTGTTGCCAAACACGAGCACATAATATTATTATTGAGACAGGGCGGTACTCAAACTTCTAAAGGGCTATAACTTTGTTACTTTAATTTTACCACAAACATGTTAAAGGAAAAAAACATTTATTTTGATCCGATCTACTCACTTTTAAAATAAATGACTCATCTTCGAAGTCACCCTGTATATATATATATATATATATATATATACGTATATATATATATATATATATATATATATATATATTCAATGTGTTTGGTCACAAGATACCGATATTTAAGAGTGGTATTTTTCAGCTATTTTTATCGAAAAATCCACCCCCCTACAATGTCATACCTCATCCCCCGTGAAATGGCAGCCATTTTTATTTTTACGTTACGATTACGGTAGTGCATGTTTGAAAATTGTAATAACTGAGTACGTAATTGTCACAGAATGATAAATTTGGTGTCATTTGAACGATGACATGTTGTAGCATTGTTGAAAAACTTGTTTTGATACGTCAAACATACTTAAAACCAGACAAAAACAGAAAAAAATGTGGAAGAAAATTGATTATTTTGTGCATTTCCGCAAACCATTCAAAAACTAGTCTGTGAAGTTGTACTTTTTTGTGCTAATTCTACAGCTTTTTGTTATCCGAAGTATTCTACGTTAAGCAATAAATGCTATCTACTCATAACATGGGTCAAAATGGGTGTAATAAAATGCAAATTGTTTTCAAACTTTGAATACATAAAAATGACAAACCAATGCTTCTTACAGAGAGTTTGGACATGTTTAATGGTACAGAAGCTGTTCAAAATGTCCTCCATTATTGGTTATGCACATTGCTGTTCTTAAAACAATGTGTCTTGTTGAGCGGCAGACCATCTCCGTGTCAGCACTAATTTCGTTAGCAGCGGTATGGGTCCATTTCAAGGGGGGTGAGGTATCACATTTGTCAATAAAAATAGCTGAAAAATATCGCTCTCAAATATCGGTATGTCGTGACCATACACATTGTATATATATACAGGGTGACTCCGAAGTTGAGTCATTTATTTTAACAGTGAGTAGATCTGATCAAAAGAAATGTTTTTTTCCTTTTCCATTTTCCTGGTAAAATTAAAGTAACAAAGTTACAGCCCTTTGGAAGTTTGAGTACCGCCCTGTCTCAATAATAATATTATGTGCTCGTGTTTGGCGACAACGGATATAATTCGCCTTATCGGTTCATCGCATCGGAAACAAAAAAGCGAAAGAATTTGGAACGATGTTTTTACAATTATTTCATTCAGTTGTATACAGTCAGTGTCAGTCGGTAGTGGATAGTGGTGTCTGTTGCGTGGCTCAAACGAAATAAAAAATGGCACATGTTTATGCGGATCGGTTTCCCAATCGAGTGCAACCAACCCCTCGTGCCTTTGTTAATGTAGTACAACAGGTTCGTGAATCATTTGACTTAAGACCTCA